GGGCAAAAAAATTTACGAGTTTAATGAAACCTGAAGAGGTAAACACAGTTAAGGCTCCTCTGGGGAGTGGTCAAAGTGTAATTACATAGCCGGAGACCCACGCTCACACACTGCGAACTGTTGACCGCGCGGGTTAATTGCATCAAAACCTCCACAGTTCGCTGAAAGCATTTCCCTGCCCCTTCACCCCCGCCTTTTCCTCGTTCTTTTGGCTTTTGATTTGCCCGGGGCCTTATGTAGTGTCCGCAGGATGAAACTCAGGACGAGCGTTGGCATAACAGCGTTAAGTCCAGCATCTCGTTGTCATCATCATCATCACCTGCTGGCTGCAGGCTGCATTCGGGCATCAAAGAGCGGAATTGTGGCCTCAAACAGCGGATGAAAGCCTGCTTCAGCTGGAATGCGTCATAGATCGACGATTGTGGTGAAGTGGTTTCTATACTTCTTACTCAGCGGGTGAATGGGTGTGCTGCAACTAGCAAAAAATGTACTGATCCTGATATCCCACCCAATACTCCTGATTTTTTCATCCAAAAAAAGGTGTGCATTATCCAAAAAAACAGTGGTCCACATATTGAATATCATACCTCACTGAACTCCTAGTAAAATTCCCAGTAAATTGGCATTCTAAGCTGAACGTTTTTAATTTTCTCCCGTTTTCGAAATAAAAACAGATGTAACCCCTTATAAAAATATATTTCACTACCTATAATTACAAATATCGGCCGAGGGAAAATGTAATCTATGTGATATGATACAATGATATTATATGTACATACTCGAATACTATTATTAACTATAAATTTAGAACCAATTTAAAAAAATCTAAATCAGAAATCATAATGACCTTTGTGATGATTTCATTTGAATTAAACTGCACACAGAAAAGTATTTCTAGAAAATCGAATCAACCAATTAATTTCTGGTTAGCGAGGATTTTTTTCCCATGAAGTGCTATTTCTTCAACGAAAAACTCTTCAGGCCCACGCATGTGAGCAAAGTGATGGCCACGGTTTGATTAATTAACATTTTTCTAGACGGCGCGGCTTGTTCTGGCATTAATGGGTCTTGTCTAATTGATTTCATCCCTACTGACTCGCACCCTTCACTTGCGGCCTGTGAATGCGGACAAATGTTGGTCTTCAGGCAGTCACTGCGTATACGTAATGCGTGTTTGAATAATTAAATGGCTGGCATACGTAAAGGTCAGAGGTCTTGGCCGACAGTGGGTAGTGAAAACTATACAGGCGAAATCAGAGAAATTATTAAGGCGTCAACTGGCGAGGGGTTAACGTGCTAGCCAATTTACAATTCACAATTAAGACCAGCCCAACCGGGAAACTCAGCGGAATGCCATGGAGAAGTCAAGAAGCCAGGCGGAAAGCGGAATGCGGAATGAATTAAATTAAAATATGAAATGCAGAAGGCAGAGGCAGTCAGATCGGGCGATTAAACACGAAAAATGCAAGTAAGTCCGCCGTGCAGTCGCTGTCGTCCCGTTGTTAATGACATAAAAAGGATAAAGCACAGGCAGCTTTCGACTTTCGACTGCAACTGACACTGATAGCAGCCAGTGGAAAGCCAACAAGCAATTAAGCAGCCAGCTCCCATCTTCATGGCCATCTCCCATCTTCGAGGCGGTGCGAATTGGCAGCTGTTCCGGCCACCAGCTGCATTGACTGGTGTTTCAGCTCCGGGACTTGGGCCACAAAAGAATCTAATTGTTTTTCCCTTCATGCTCCGAGTGCTTGCATTAGGAGCTGTTAATTGCTAAATGCTTGAATAACTGTGCTGATGGTCATTGCTTTAATGCCCGACTAATCAATAATGTATCAATTTGAATGAGATAAAACGGATAAAAAGAACCAATCAATGGCTGTCACAGGGATGGAAACTTTTGGTTGACATTTCACTCAGTCCATCGAAAATCAATCCAATCTTTATACTGTTACAAAAGTGTTAGTTGTATAATATAGAGTTTTTCCGTCATTGTGTAATGTCCAATACTGCATAAATAGCGTACCAAATAATATTAGATTTATGGAGTTTTCTGTGTAGAATAAAACAAAACTTGAAAGCTAGCAATAACAACTATTGGTCGTCTTCTATAACCGCACATTTGAATTAACTTATGACCAGCTATGACCACACATTATTTTCCCAAGAATGGAGCATCGGCTACCCGTTTTTTTGGGATCTTTAGAATTAATTTGACAATACACGAAAACGAGGTCCATTCTTGTGTGGCGTGTTCAACAAAAAATATAACAAAATTGGTAGTCACAAGAATTTTGGTATACCCAATTGTAACCAAGAATACTCTCCAGTCTACCCATAAATATTGTCAAATATAACAGACCTTTGGTTTTTTCATTTTACCTTAGACTTTACCTTTTGCCATCACTGGTTTCCCCTTCAGCTAGTTTTATTCACGTTGCATAAGTTTTCCCGTCGGTCAGGAAGTGGAATTTCCAATCGCCTCCGGGTTTCCACGGTCTTTGCCTGGTCGTTCGATTCGCTGGTCCTGGTGTGACGTTCATTAATTAGATGAGTTGCAGTGGCCAGGTTCCCAATCTCCATTTGGCTTGATTTTGATTTCTGCTGGCAGTTGGCCTCTTCGAATGTTGCCCCAATCCAAGATGAAGCGAATGTGGCTAACTGACATGGCATTTTCGTTGCATTTGTTGGTCAACAAGCTCTTGGCAGCAGAAGCATTCATTTGGGGTTTTTGTTTTCCTTGGCAGCACCGACTTGCCTCAGATTGGTTTAATTCGGTTTCGGCTTGACTGGCTCCTGCCGCAGGAGCCTGGCATTTATTATGTTGGCATGTTGGCCCCAAGGACACCGAAAACAGGCGACGTCTGCAGGCGACACGCCCACAAAAATGCTGGTGTTTGTTTGCCCGGCACACAAAGTGTCATAAATTAATGCTGTGTGGGTGTGTTGGCTGCCTTTGTTCACTATGTGCTGATTGTGATTGCAAAAATTGTCAACATTATTTCATTCTCAGCTGCGTTGAAGTGTAAAATTAATTAACAAACATGCAAGACATTGCTGGCCGAATATTAGTTTTGGAAAATCTTCAAGAATTCGTATATGAACTTGTGGTTAGGCAAAAAGTGGTTATTAAATCTCAAAGAAATTTAAAATGAACTACTAATTGTTTAAAGCAGTAATTGCTCGCCGAATAAAAGTATTTGGAATTTGATAGTTTAAAGTAGTGTAGCAAGCAGTCTCATACACACATGTGCATGCATACACACCTACACTTAAGTACTAAGGATCCTATTGTACATATATGTACATACTCTAAGATAAGTTCCACAATTATATCCTATATATGTATGTCTCCTTTAATCTTGTGCGAAACTCATTGTCAACCGAACACTATGTCTATCTCGGTCTTGCACGTACGATCGGTTTAAGTTCCACTCTTGTGAAATAGGCTAAGAACGCATAATTTGGAAAAGAATAGAATCACTTTTGCTGCTACCACTAAATAAAGAACACGTATTTGTGCCACCTTAATGATAATGGTATAATAAACGCATTTAAATTGAAATCCCAGCTGTTTAATGATACGAAATACAAAGCCGCAGGAAGGAGTAAATGACTCGAGAAGGTCTCAAGGATGCATATGATGCCTCGGTGAATCCGAATGCCACTGACAGCGAAATCCATATCCTGACAGCCTGACGAACCGTGGCAAAATGCTGCAGACGGACAACAACTGCGGCCAGAAATGCTTGAAACGATTTTATTCCTTTGACTTTGGACCAGCTCTTGAGCTCTTGTCTTGGGAAATACCTCAGGGGATTCTTGAATAGTCAGCCGATTGAATAGTCGGTGCCCACGATGGAGGATGGAGCAGATCCAACGCTGCCGCTTAATCAAGCGCAGTCCAATTTACCACCGAGTTTCCCACTTTGAGGCTCAACTCGAAATGAATCCATTTGACAGCACCAAGGCTGCATTTATTTTGATATTTATGGCCGGCTCTTTTTTCACTCACTGTGCCGCGTAATTGCACCAAATCCTTTGCTGACACACAGCGCGTTTCATTGTGCTTTCAATTGTTACATCACGAATTTGTTTGTTAAGCCTCGCCCTAAGCTCGGCCACGCCCCCTTTCGCCCCTCGATGGCTGGAAAACAAAAAAGTTTTATTTGTCACAACGATATGTAAAATGCGTGGCTTATCCGGATTACCGGATGCTGAAGCGTACAAACATTAGCACAACTCTCTCTGTTTTTCTTTATTTTTTTTCTGATTTAAGGGCACACAAAATAGCAGAGCTAAATTTAAATATCGTAGAGTTAAGGGGATGTGTTACCAAAAATCATGAACTTTAAATAACCCGCCAAAACACACAAATTTGCCTTCTTTAAATACTTTTCGTAAAATACAAGGTCTAGAAAACTATTTGAAAAAAAATGTGATAAGCGGTTGATAAAAATGTTATAACTTTCAATGAAAGCTTATAGAAAAACTCTTTAAATTTTGATAATTCTTTAAGATTCCAAGCGGAAAATTCCAGGCATCAAAAGCAAGAAACTCTTTCAAAATGTCCTTTGCCAACTATATTTTACATATTTTTGTTATAATCCAGATAAATAACTTAAGATAAAATATAAGAGAAAATATCGTGTGCTATGAATAATAGTGTCATTAGATGAATTCACCACTTGGCAAGTTCTAGCCAATAATATATATAACCCATAAATAATTGTGTTCTTTCTTTGCTAGTTTCGGGCATTTTTGTTCAAAGTGTCGGGCCAGAGCGCAGAAAAGCCCTCAATTCTGGCAATAGACTCCCGGGGAGACAAATATTTATTGCCCTGTTGAACTCGGGAATACTTCCCAGCGAAGGCTTAACGTGGCCATTACTCTTTTTTGCTCCAGTTTGTCAGAGCCACTTCGCTCTAGTTGTTCAGGAGGGCTCTTGAGCAATGGGGCTCATTAATTCGATTGTTTGGCAACGGGAATAAAAACTAAATTGGTTTACTTTTTTTGCCTGTTTTATTGAAGTTCATTACTAAAAATTTAAATTAAAATTTTATTGGAAATACATATACCATATACATACAATTATTATTAGTGTTGTAATTGCAATTGGAATTTTCTCATTTCTCGTTTTGCGTTCGATGAGAATGTAAAATTAAACGATTGCATTAAATGTGGCCAAAGCAGACAGATCGGTTGACATTTTATTTGCCGAATATGTCAGAGAAAATTTGTGGCTATAATATAATTAAATGAAAATCCGATTTACACGTTATATTAAGTGGGAGATTCTAATCATATTCAAATTATTCAAATGAGAGCTTTAAACACGAGTATACAAGCTGCTTTGGTATTGAGGAACTAACTTTTAACATCTGTATATGTATAATCGTTTCTCGTTTTGCATATTTCACACGTTTCGTTTGTTTTAATATAGTGAAAGCGCTTAGACCTAAACTCTATGTTGTTGTAGGTATATATCGTATGACTTGTTCATCATATATGTCTATAAGTATTAATCGTTCAAAATATTATTATTGTAAATAATTAAAAATGGAATCGCGTAAGTGCTCTATAAGAAAATCGTATAGAATTTTAATGGTAATTCACTTGGTTTCACTAAACTCTCGATAATTCTAAATATTTCTATTAATTAGTTTTTTACCTACGTTATGCCGAATGGTTTTTTATCTGAGCTAGACTTTGCTACAAGTATTTTATTCGTGAATATCAATTTGTTTTTTATCATTTTGTTGTTCTAGTTTTAATATTTAATTTAGAATCTCATGAACAGTGGAGTGAAAACTTTTTCGATTTTCTTTAGTGTTCGCTTCTATATCATAATTCGTTCGACCTTAAGATTACGTTCACATGTGTATTTAACAAACATTGATTTGGCTTTTTATTCGAACAGAAAACAACAATTTCTTACTAGGCTTTTTTAGCTTACGGAACAACATATAATGGATAGATTTCCAGCAAATATTACTGTTCCAAAGTGCAAAATCACAGACCCCAAAATAAACTCACTGTGACTTTGACATTTGCGTAATATTTGTGGTCCTATGTGCAAACTATAAAAAACCACTATCTCAAGCTTATCTTGAAAACTGATTTTTGTTCAAGTGACGCAGGATTTGGGATCCTAAGTATTTAATTTCTACTTTTGTTTTTTAACCTTAGGTGTACTTTAAATAGTATGTTCATGAAATGCATCAACTCGAATTCGGCGATATTAATTTATTTTTTCGTCTTCTCAATATGATTGCGATTTCTTATGTACTTTTGACAGCTGGCATAAACTTATGTATACTATGTTTTGTTTACTTTAATAATGCGTTTTGCGTTTATTTGTTTTTTTAATATTTTTAACACGATTTAAGTAGTAATTTGTCATTGCAATTGTTATTTTTTGTGAATATGAATTAGTTAAGCTTTTGGAATGTTCCTACACCCTTTGTTATCGTTTACCAACACGATTTGTGTTCTTTGGGAAGACAGTCAGAAATACAAAGCCTCAAAATATAAATAGCAAATATGTTGTGAGATTTTATATATTTTATACGTACTTAAGCCGAAATCGCATGAGTTTACAAATTACAGAAAAGAAAGGGTTCAAATGGTTAATTTTCGTGTAACTTTGCGTTATCGCTTCTTAGTTTGATTAGGTCCCGTTCACAGAATTTTGTTTGTATCTTTAATACTTTTAAGAACTAAAAATAAATGATAACGGCTGAAATTTTATACAATTTTCTTGCTGCTAAATAAAACAAAAGAAAAGCAAAGAAAGAATCATGCAAATAGCAATGGGATCATCTCAAGACCCACTTAACGTCGCGGATTCCAAAGATCGAAGATTGAGGGCCAGGCCATTGAAATTATGGGCAGGGTCAACAAGATGACAGAGTATGCCAAATGGGTACCGGAATTACATCCGTCCTCGGTGCAGCAGTACGTTTGTGTCTCCCAAATTTCTAATAAAATAATTAGAGTGATATTTCATAATTAGCTGAGGTCAAGCATTTGTCAGAAATTCAATTATTGTTGCGGTTCTTGACAATTAACTTTCATTTGTCTAATGTATTCAGACTAATTACATAGTTCAATTAACTTGTGGTTAACCCGAAAGGCTAATAGCTCACCTTTCTCCTGACATTCAGTGGCACAATCGCGAACAGTCGACAGCTCACTAACGTATTTCTGAAAAAAATAAACAGGAAATATTATAATTCATTCTGTAATTGTGGCATTTGGATTCATATTCATGACAGCTTAATTAAATATCAACCGAATCCAACTGCATGTCAATATAATAAAAGTGTGCTGGCCAACAGGGCGTATGAATGCCATTAAGTTGCATATGTAATGGCTGTTTATGGCATTCGCAATCAATATCAATAAAAATAATCAGGACGCGAAGTCTATTATATTGCACATATTTATGAACATAAGTATACAAAAATGTTGTATTGGTTTGAATACATTTAATATTTCGATTTACTATCAATTTAAAAACCGTTAATGTAATAAATTCGAATGATCTATATAAATTTAACTATATGGCTGGGGATTTTTAAGCTGGAAAAGTTTTTAATGCATAGGAAAACTATAAACTTTAAAAACACGAACAAAAAAGCTTTAAATGTCAGTAAAGCTATAAACATAAACATTTTTACGACCTATTTCGGTTGGCAAAAGGAGGATTAAACAGCAGCAGAAACCTTTGTTTTGTTGGCAAAATGTTTGCCATAAAGTTGGCCAGTATCATCAATATGACTGCCTATCATGGTAAGTAGGTCATAAGTAGGTTATCTTAAGAGTATCGCTGACCCAAGCAGATTTCAATCAAACCCTGAATAGCTTTTCACTTTGATGTCTAGGTAATGCCGTAAGAATGTTCTAAAGGAATTATTTATTTCACTCACACATTCGGGAGCGGAGTTTTGCGGTCTAAGCCACTTTTGATGCTCTTTTAACGACGGCTCCGTGAGTTCAGCAAGGGGCACCATATTTCTGCCTGGCTACGAATAAATAAACATAAAACACATCGTACAACGTAGAACATTACGTTACAGACCCAAGTAACTGCACAAGTTGGTTTTTAGCATATATACTCACATATGGCTGACATTAAAGTTTACGACAACATAAGCAGGGGACACCAAGTCTTACACACACACACACATGACAAAGATAGTCCTGTGGCAAGGACATAAACTGCTCCCTCAAAACACCCCCTTTTAAACTCTCGAGTAAATTGAAAAATGAGGCTTGGCAACGCCTTGCGGCCCATTAGGCAAATAATAAACATGTTCAATAATTACCCTGGGGTGTGCGTCGTGTGTGAGTGAGTGTTATTCTTTGGCCGCAGCCCCACAACAATGCACCTGCCACCTGCAACTACCAATGCAGCATGCAACCACTGGCAATACAAAACACGTGTTCACACCAGGAGGCCACAAGAAAACAGGATGCAGGATCAGGAGGAGCAGGAGGAGCAGCAGGTGCAGCTGCAACAGCGGAAGGCAGTCAGCCGAGGCAGCTTATGGGGCACTTAAACCGCTTAATCGATTGAGCCGAGTGCCGTGGCAGCGGCCGGCAGGACGATGTGCAACAATCCGGGTCCTGAAACCCGACTAAGCCATTCCGCAGCACTTAACGACTTTGCGTGCTTATCGCCCGTTGGTAGCTGCATTTTCCAGGACATCTGCAGCTGGCACCGCACATTGGCAGCTCATTGTTTATGTAACAGGTCCTGCGATAGTGACCACTGTAATGGACCTCCCACTGCACTTTGCCACACTCAGGAAAAACAATTGTGAACAAAAAGAGTGTATCTGATAGGTACGTCATAGTTTTGCACTTCTTAGCAAAGAGTGGAGGGGAAATCTCTTTGAGATTTATTAAAATAAAAGTAACTACGAATATTTTATGGTACCCAAATCATTTTTTGGTATTCAAAATATATATAACAAAAGTTAGATATTATCAAAAGATGAATTCATCACTATAAGCTCGTATGGTTCTTTTGACTCATTTTATTCTTTAACGATAAATGATATTAATGATATTAATATTCTTAAAATTAAATGATGCTTAACTTATTTTTTGTCCGTGTAGTCCACATATTATCCCTGCTCCCATTTGCTGCAAATGTTGTCTTATTAAAATGAGACGACACCTTACATATTATAGCAATAATATCATTTGCCCTGCGTTTTCTTTGCCACTGTTTGTGCATAATTTGTGCCACTTATGTCCTTTAGGCCAAGTAACGCCACAAGTGACCCCAAGAAGTGTTGAAAGGGTAAGCTCATTATGTTATGCGATGTCACCAAATGCGTTTGGGGGCTAAGTAATGTGGCTAGTATAGATAATGTGGGGATAATCACTAAGAAAAAACACAGGCTGACATGGGATCAACTAGGGGGAATGAAATTACAGACGTTGTCATCATTTCTTATGCAATCGGCCTGATGTACCACCGAAATTTCAGTAAACTTAATTTCCTTTCAGCTTTCCTTCTTCAACGAGTCACTTGCAGAGATTTATGCATCTGGCCTAGTTTAAAAATGAAATGCGAACAAAAAATGTGTGCAACGACGGGCGGGGGCGGGGGAGGGCTAGGTGGGCGTGGCTATGGTCTGTCGAGCACGTCGGGCCAAATGCAGCTCGGCATGTTATTTGGTTGTTAGGCCAAAAGTTGGACCAAAGGAAAACACGAAAAACGTTGAGCAGAGCAATAATCTTGAGACAGCCGGGGAAAAGTTCCTCCATTGCCAGTGTGCTACTTTCACTTAAGCCAGTTATATCATCTCTTCTGCTTAGTTGTGATTTGAACAACCGTCTTACCCGAACCCAAACCCAAAAACGAACCCAAGCCTGCACTTTGTACCCAAGACCAAGTCAACTCAAGCAGACAGCCACTGATGACGACGTTGATGATTTCAATTTTGCATGCGAGTGACAGCAAAGTGAAGAAAAAGACGTCTAAAAAACTAAAAGACGCAAGTTGCACAAAAAATAGGGAAAAAGTGGTAATGACAGGAAAGTACTGCCATTGCAAAAACGGAGAAAAAACGGAAAACAAGATTGGAGAACTAGCTAAAGGGTTCGAAGCGGGTAATACCCTTTAAGTTTTGACGCAGTTGGGAAGTAGAAGGATCTTCTTCCTTTAAAATCTACTATCGATAAGTAATTCTATTTATTCTTGGTTGGCACTTCATTTATTTCAAAATTAATATACAGATTATTTTGTCACATTTATAGAATATACAAGTAGATTAATCAGATTAATTACAATATAAGAAAAACAATAGTTTACAATAGTTTCTAAGCAATTTTTATTATTATTAAATTTTCACAATAAAAAACTCTATCAAATTTAAAGAATTTAAAACTACTTTTTGGACTGGGTAGTGTAAAAACTAAGCATTGCAGAACTCAACTGTTAAACATTAATTTTCTAGAACTCATGAATGACTACTTCATTGGTCGAAAAGTGTTTTAGCAATAATATAATACCCACTTCAGCGGTATGAAAATCTTGAGGAGCAGGGAAACCAGCTTCGACGTCATGAGTGGCAATGGCAACTTTGAATTGTGGGAGTGTATGGGTGCGTTATGTCTGAGTGTGTGTGTGTGAGTGCACCCAGGATGCGCATCGTCCTTTAGCCATTTATGAACATTTCAAGTGTTCGGGGGCAACGGACAAGACGTCAGCATCTTGATCTTTTGAAGGAAGACGATGATTTGCCTCAAATCATGTGTGCATGTGTCCTCGACGGCTTTTCCTAATGCATTCACTGGAATGATGCACAATTTTTCACAATTCCAATGTATTAACTAAATTTGTTGTCTTCTTGGGTAATAACATAAAATCACTTAATGGTTATTGGTATGCAAATGAGCTATAAGATTTCCAGCGTTATCTTTGCTCCGTGCTGTCCTCGTTAAAATGTATCTAGTAAGCTCAATAAATCCTTTCAGCATTCCGTCATTAAAATCATCAACGATTCTGGTCACGAACTCGATTGCGAAATCCACTTGAACATTTTTGCGACATTAATTACAGAGTCGTGACTTATCAAACGACAAGCGCCAGTTGCATTGCAAAATAATTCAATACGGAGAGGCGTTAAAGTCGCAAACAAATGAATTATTCAAGAGCGCTTTAATTCGATTTCAAATTAAATTTCTGGCGCACAATGAAGGAAAGTGAGAAGTTCAGTCAAGTGAATGGCAAAGAAACGCAGGTGATCAGGGAATGTGCAATGTGAGACACTTTTCTTGGGAAAGCGAAATCGAAAGGAGGCCCGGAGCAACTTTCGGGTCTCATATGCATTTGCCAAACATGGCCTTCAATTATTAAGCCAAGGTGTTTTGTCAGTCCCCCCGAAAAAAAAAAAACCGGAGGTTGAGCTCTCGCTTTTGCTTTCGCTTCACTTGCCGCATTGAATGAGCACCGAAAGTTACTCTATATATAGAGAGGGTGCAGCCTGGCTGCCTTTGCTCCATTATCAAAATGCAATTTCATCAATGCTGGCTTTGGGACCTCAAAAAATCCGACCGGCAACAAAAATGTTATAATGTCTGAAATTTGATTTTCCCTCCAAGAGTGAACGCTCTGTACGCTGCACTCTGCACTCTGCACTGTGTGGCATGCAGCAGGCATCAGCTTTCAGCAGCGGCTCACTGCGAATCCCACGACCCCGATGGCACCTCTTCATCCCCCATCCCCCATCCTATCCCTATTCCGATCCCGAGCCCAATCCCTGCCAGCAGCCAAGATTCACAAAGCGAGGAGTGGGAAAACACTTTTTGGCAGTGCACTTTGTGGCAGAATGCAAGCCATGGCAACAGGAATTTTGTATAAAACGAGGCTTCATCCTTCAAAAAGTGAGCTCTCCATTTGTGGGTATATATATATATTGGGCATTTTTTTGGCCGCGGGGCGTATACGTAATGCATTAAGCTGATGCGGCCAAAGGCCAGTCTACATATCATCTATGTGAGAGCCAGCCACAATCAAGGACAAATTGGTTTAGATATGAAACCACGCCGAAGGCCTCTTCAATTTTAGCCAAAACTTTTAATTAATCACGAACTCTGAATCAAACTATATACAAGAAAATGCTTTTACCATGAAAGAAAAATATAAAATTGATTAGTACGAAACAAAAACCAAAAACATTGTATCC